TCCCCCTCCACTAACCTCACAAGATTTTCCAATTTCAAAAGCTAAGTTTTGCTGGTTCTTTTAACAGTACTTAGGGCCTCAAACCCAAGTTTTGATCTTGTTTTCAGACAAAACTTAAATCTCAACTAAAATAGTGCTTATTTTCTCATAAGCACTTTTATTTCAGCCCATTTTTCTCACACCTACCACAAAAATAAGGGAGACTTCTTTCTGTTGTTCATATCATTCTGTTGAGACACTTCTTGCAAATCAAAGAAAGTGTGAAAGCGTGGAAAATGTCTGGAGTAGAGCCTCTTCAGAGAGTATACTCATTTCCAAGAACAAAGTTTCCAAAGTCAGCCCGTCCCCCAGATGCTCCTATAGAGCATTTAAATAATTCATGACGGAGAATTTGGAAAACATTGGCCACACAGAGCAAATCCGTATCTACTTGAGCAAAAACAGTAGAATCACAGTGACCAGCCTTCTTGATGGCCACAGTTGCATAATGTAGTCAGAATAATTCATGAGCCCCCTTGCAAGGACAAGCCTGACATATCTGTAAAAGAGACACCAGTGACATGTGTGTCTCCCCTCCAAATGAGCATTTGAAATCTCAACCCTTATAAGTATTTTGATTTACATATAAATTAGAGGCCTGTAATGGACACCCGGCACATTTTGACTTAGGGCCTGGTTACAGTTCATGTGAGACTGTGATTAGTCTAGAATTGGGTGATTAGGGTTGGATTGTTTTAAACCTTTGCTCTAGGAAGTCTCAATGTTTACATTATTAAAAATTAATGAAACCGGATGAAACAGCGGCACAGCTTTTTATCTTCTGTAGTATTTACCTTATATGGAGAGAAGTTGGCAAATTTTTCCAGTTAAATTTTTTAGGGATCTTCCCTCCCATAAAGCACGTTGCTTGTGCTATATTTATAGTGAGTACAAATTGTTAATATGTACATGATTTCAACTTTTAGCTCCTAAAATAGTTAGAGGGACATTGCCTTAGACTCTTTAATTATGAACCTTTTGGGTATCTAGAAAATACCAATAGACATGTGGTATTTTTCTATAATACTCTCAAATTCAAATACATTTTTATTTACTACTGGCTACTTAAAGAAATAATGCATGTATAGTGCTCCTTATGGTCAATAACTCCAGCATCAACTTTTAAATGATTTTTCTGAAAATTTGTTTTACTTAGCTCTTCTGGGAAAGGGCCTATACTAAAAATTGAGACCCTCTTAATATCTGCATGTAGCAATAATCATAAATGCCAAACTTATTGCAATGTTTATTTAATAGACATTTAAATAGCACTGTGTGCCAAGTACTGTTCCAAATGCTTTTCAAACACTAATTTAATCTTTACAACAAACTGACTTATCATTCCTATTTTGTAGCTTAAGAAACTGAGAGGCTAACTTACTTGACCCTGACCACACATTTTGCAAGTGGCAAACCCAAGATTTGAACGTGACCAGTGAGCTCAAGTTCTTTAACTCTCACACTAAGCAGTGAGGTCTTACAGTCTTGGCTGCTGCTGGCAGAGGACTTTCCAAGGATGCTCACTGTATTCTGGTGTGTTCATCTGCTAAGTCCTTGTCAGAATCTACAGCCTATATCATATTTCCCTTGTTTCTGAGTGGGCCAGCCAAATTCTCTTCAGCTTGTTGGGACATTGGTTGCGTAGGGATTGCAACACCATGGAAAGAACAGACAAGATTTGCTCAACTCCAATTCTTGGTTTAAAATGAAAAGTGAGCTATGGCTTCAGTCAAATATTTGTGAGTAGGTATATGATGTCAAAATGTTTCCTTGTGCAACACACAGAAAATGGTAAGGTAGAGTCTTTGGCTGTGAAAGTATAAGGAACAGCCTTGGCTGGTGTGGCTCAGTTGGTTGGAGCGTCCTCCCGTGCACCAAAAGGTTGCGTGTTTGATTCCCGGTCAGGGCACATACCTGGTTTGTGGGTTTGATCCCTGGTTGGGGTGCGTGCGGAAGGCAACCGATCTCTCTCTCTCTCTCTCTC